ACACACACACACACACACACACACACACACACACACACACACACACACACACACACACACACACACACTTAATGCAAGTGAAACTCTTGCTGCAGGATGCTGCAGGAATCAAAGTCCCTCCCCTTGATTTTATGACTTGTGAGAGAGTGAGTTGGTGAGAGCGAGAGAGTAGAGGACGTAGAAGAGTGGTGATGCAGGGTATCCAGTCCTGTCCAGAGCTTGAATGACATTCTGAGGTTCAGTTCTTCACCATGCCACCATGAGCATAAGCTCCACTCACTGTGAAAATGGCACAAATAGGAAATTCCTCCAGTCAGGTAAGGAACATAAATAATGATAAATGGAAAGTCTGAACTAAATGTATTTCTTTAAGATAAGTGGGATCTGTGAAGTGTAATAATGACTTCCTGTCCTGTCCAACCTCACGAGCACATGGATATGGTGTACATCTCCATTGAGACCACTATTGCTCTGGCCTCTGTGGTGGGGAATGTACTGGTGGTGCTGGTGGTGTATGAAAACCGGGCTCTCCGCAACGCAACCTTCTGCTTCATTGTGTCTCTGGCCATGGCTGACATCGCTGTGGGACTTTTGGTCATCCCTCTAGCTATCGTTATCAGTGTGGGATATTACACTCAGTTCTACACATGCCTCTTCCTGTCTTGCCTGATTCTGATGATCACCCAGAGCTCCATCTTTTCCCTACTGGCAATAGCCATCGACAGATATCTGCGAGTCAAAATTCCTACCAGGTGAGGAACTGCTTTAAAAGCAGTTGTTTGTGTGTTTGTTTTTTATTGTTATTTGTTTTATCTGAAAAGGTAAAAATAAATTAATTGGAATAAAGTAGTGAAAGTTGAGAATTACAGTATCAATGTAGTAAATCATGATCTGTTTACATTAAGAAGAACTCAATATTCATAGCAGAACACCATAGGAAACTGATGTCAGCATCCTCCTTGACCGATAAAGACTGCCTGATCCAGTCCATTGCAGCTTTCCTGTCCAAAATTTATCATGCAAATTAGTCATCCACTGATCTAGGTTCTGTACAATATTCATCCTACTTATAAGCATAAATTTATTTCACAAACATTTTAATTGATATCACATTATATAGCATGTGTCTTTTGAACTTGAACTAGCAGAACATATGGTGTTAATCTCTTTTTAATTGTCTTTAGAGTCAGAGAGCCTAATATGTGCTCAATCGAGTGAATTAGGTTCTCCATCTTCATGACTGATATACAGCACCATATATCTTTGCAAGGTTTAATGCAAATAAAAACCTTTTAAGCAAATTAAAATGTTCCTGTCTATGTAAACAACTGACAGAGGTAGCATTTTTATGACAGCTGGCGGTCTACCACACAACATTTTTATATATCAGTTGGATCCTGATGTCAAGTGTCAGTTGTGAAAACTTTGAAAAATCTCAAAGGCTGACATTGGACCAATGAAACACTATAACTATAGTACTCATATGCGCATTTAGGTGAATCGGAAACCTGTCTTTTCTTTTTCATCATACTGCGCAGGTACAGCATCATAGTGACTAATGGGCGAGCGTTCGTGGCAATTTGTCTCTGTTGGATTCTTTCCTTCCTCACTGGATTGGTTCCGATGATTGGCTGGAATAACCGGGATACCGCAAACCGCAGCAACGCCAGTGAAATATGCTGCCAGTTCACCGCTGTTATAAGGATGGACTATATGGTGTACTTTAATTTCTTTGTCTGTGTGGCACCACCACTGCTGATAATGATCACTCTGTATGTGGAGATCTTTAGGGTCATACGGAAGCAACTTAACCGCCGTGCTGAGGCCACCTGTGATGGAGACAAGTACTTCCGGAAGGAGCTGAAACTAGCCAAATCGTTGGCCTTGGTGGTGTTTCTCTTTGCTTTGTGCTGGCTCCCAATACATATCATGAACTGCGTGACTTTATTTTGCCCAAATTGTATCAATCCGATAGCCTCAAAGGTAGGGATTTTCATGTCCCATGTAAACTCGGCTCTTAACCCGCTGGTTTATGCATTCAAGATGAAGCATTTCCGTGCCACACTCATCCAAATCATTCGCCGCTGCATGTTATGTAAACCCTTAGAAGCGACCGCATACCCTACAAGCACAGTAGTCCTAAATTAGAGAGTGAATTTAAGTGTAAAGAAAGGACTGCGATATTTCTGTTCTTGGTTTCCAGTGATGGTGTATCAACAATACTAATGGGATTACATGATATATGGAACTGATAAGGAAAATAAACCCATTAGCTGGAATAACACAGCACTTCACTGAGTCTTGGGAAACACCCATATCTTAACCATTTACATTTCTGTGAGTTTCATTAGAATAAACCAAGGTTGCAGTGAGAAAAACTGAAAGAAAATTATATCTTCATCAGTCTGGCATTTGATTTGTTTTGTTTTTGTTATTAAGTTCTTTCCTTACTGATTCATATTGAATTTTTTAATCATTGTAATGTGCTGTAGATAAACATCATAAATGATGCATTCAATATTTCATGCTCAGAATGCTTCAAAGTGGAAAGAAGAGATGTATTTCCCATTTTAACAAAATACATTCTACTCAGTGAGATGTTGCAGGTATGTCTTAGACATCGCCAAAGTTATTATATTTCAAGGACATTATCCATGTTTGTGTGAAAGCCAGTGGCATTCCATAGTGGGCGAAATATTGCAATATGTGCCAAAGTGGTCGACTGACTTATAAATGAGATTAGATTCATTGCAAAGATTGAATTTGGAAAACCACATACTAGATGCTTGATGAGTCACATGAACACAGTCAGAAGAGTGAAGAGATTTACTGGCATAATATCAATACAGAGTGCAGTTTGTTCTCTGGGTTTCACATAAACAGTTCAATATATGCTGAGATGAAAAGGCTCTGCCTTGAATGCAAATTAATCAATTCAGGCACTACACCAAATGAGACAAAAACTCTGCCAATATCAAAGCCTTTCAGCCATAAGTCTTTATCATAGGATGCAGGGACTTCCTCAGTAAATTCACATAGTTGAGGCCATATTTCACAAGCTGTGGCAGAATGGTGAAAAGGCTCTGGCGCATTTAAAGAAATTAACAACAGAGCATTATGTTCAAGTGATTTATTCCAACTCCAAGGCTAAAGCTTCTGCTAAAGCCGCATCGGTTCTGCATCGTCATCAGTTTGACCTCAGGACTACATCCACTCAGTACTTAATACATAAAAGCGGTATAATCCTTTTAGAATATTAAATGATTTTCCATTTGATATGCTCAGAACACCAGGCTTTGTGTTAAAACAATGGGGTTCAAAAAGGTATTTAATTATCGCTCAACATGTCAATATGTACTATATATTACCATCTCTAACCTTCATCCTCGCTGAGGGATTTGAAACTGCTGAGTGTGGTCTAATCCCCAGCACTCATCTTAGAGAAGCAGGTACCGCATAACCAACCTGGCATTTACTGCCTTTGCACCACACAGCCCTGTGAGCACTGGCCTAACAATATCTACAGTAGAGAGGTAAAAGCATGGTGTAAGTAGGAAGTGTCTATCGTGACTTCATCACACAGAAACTGAAATCTTCGCAAGGTAAGACTATTTATATGTATATTTGGAGAAACATTTAAGGCTTCTACAAAACACTATCACTACATCAGTTTGCAAAATCATTTCTTACGTTTGCTTTTTTAACATTTTCAAGCAGCAACAGAATTTTGCATGCCCAACCAACTATAAGATGGCTGACACTCATAGAGAAGGAGAGGAACAAGGGGAAGAACAAGATCTAGAGGCTCCAGAAGAAGAGATGGACGAACATAATGCTTTGCTACACTTAAGCAAATACCGTGAAGCTCAGTTTGCAAAACCGTGGGAGCAGTGGACCTTCAGAGATAAAGCAAACTATTACATGGACCGCATCTTCCTTGGGCTTTTGGTCACTTTTTTGGTCATTTTTATTGGAGAATGTGGCTATAAAATCTGGTACTTGACAAACGTGAATGCGATTGTGGAGTTTGTTTCAGATTTGGTGGTCTTTTTGTTCGATTGGCTCTTCACGCAGGACAGACAGGAGCAGGTGGCTGAACTATAGGCTGCAATGAAAGGATTACTTGATTTTGTCTTTTTTTGTGTGTATTTTCTGCAATGTTTAAAACACAAAAGATCACTAGAGAATTTGTCTGCATCTTAGTAAGGAATTTTTGTAATATTACCAGTACCTGAGCACTATTTCTGATCATTTTTGATGGAAGTAAACATATTGAATGAGCTGTCTCACTGTCATGCACTTCAATGATTTGTACCATGTGGTTTTTCCCCCAAACCAACTATGTAATTAAAAAAATTATTAATTTCAGCTATGATTTATGAATGACAACTGCTATAACTATGTTAGTTTCTGTTACGGGCTAATTAATATGTTAATATATTTTAAAGTTGGAACATTGAAACATGCAGTGCAAATGCTTTGAAGAGTGCTGTAAAGCTGATTTAAAGGACTAATTTGTGCCAATTCCTGTTTAATTCTCAATTTCCTTTACTCCTTAACATTTAGATGCATTTTATTAGATATCATGTTACATTTTTATTTATATATATTTAGAATTGATTTATATTTACTTATAAATATTAAATGTAGATATATGACTTAATTGTTACAAGCCAGTTAATTTACTATCCAATCTGTACATGGAAAGTGAATAATAATAACAACAATAGAATGTTTTTAGTGTATTTTTATGAAAGGTGTCATTCTGCTACAAAAATTTTCCACTAAATCATGTTATATATATTAAAAAAAAAAAAAACTTATAATGGAGCGAATACAAATGTAACTTAATTGTTCGACTTCTTCACCAAAAATCAATAATAACATGGTTTCTTACTTGTAAAGTTACATTTATAGGTGTAAAATTTGGCAAATTATAAGAGTAAAGTTATAATAGCAACGACCCAGTGCACAAAAACGATTTTCTGTGTGCTGTTTTCCTGGAGATAAGCCACCTAAGTTGTTTGCACAGTGGATTTCACCAATATTTTCAACAATAAAAAGAAATTATTCTCAGTTGGGCACTTCCAGAATAAATGTACAGTGGTCTTTAGATCCGAAACTGCAGTTTAGACCAGCGTGTATTTAATATTGAAATTATAATAATTGTTACCGATTTATTTGGTCAGTGAGACGCTCGACTTCATTCTGTACCACATTACCCACAATCCAAGTCCAACAATGATTCTGACGTATACATCTGTCATCAAGCAGACCAATGAAATCGACGCACTCCATCTCATACAACCTCCGGTACCGCCTCTCTTCCTCTTCCGGATTTTCTAGCGTGACCGACGTTTCGTGTCTATTTAGACTTAAAAGTAAGTCCAACTATCCGTCACATTATAGATGTTAGTTTCTATCTCCTTATGATTTTTTAAGGTGACCCGTGTTTGATGGTTGATTTTATTCGGCTACAAATGTGTCGTTGTTGCCTAAATTACTGTCAATAATGGAGGACTGCTACAGACAAACACTGGGCGCCATGCTGCCTCTGTCGGTCCCAACTGATGTATCCAGCTTACATGGTTCACACCAGCATAGAGGCTGTTACACCATGTGTTCTTGGCACTGAATACAAAGTCGAACAGCGACCTGCATATTTAGTATGGTGATTTTTGTCCGTGTGTAATGTTTAGTATTTTTATTTGTAAAACATCAGCTACACTACAGCTGAACTGCTAAACCTGGGTTCTCCGAACATATTTAAAGACTCAAAGTATAATCTTAAAAACACTAAAGAATCAAAATATTCTTATAGAACTACTAGTAGTTATACACTTCAGTTTTTTGCTTTATGAAAGTACTCATCGTTGTCCTTAAATAAATTCACCGAGGGTGCGTGCAGGCCCCCTAGTGGCAAACCTGGAGTATTTCTGAGTGTCAGACTACTCGATAAAAATACAATTTAGAAATCACCTTTTCCTGCTTTAAAAAAGAAAGGTGCTAATCTAACGTATTTTGGCCTTCCACTCAAAGGAATATTGCCAAGACTATGATTTATCATATTTTTAACCAGCTAGTACTGCACGAAATACACGTTTGCCGATCATACGGGCAGCAAAAAAACGACATTTCTGTTGAGACATGTAGAAAAGACTTGCTTTAACTATATATGGACTATTCATGTTTGCATGCGTGGTCACCCACTACAGGCCTATTTTGAGAGAAAAGAAATACAGCTAAACTTACACTTTCTGAAATTGTTACCTGTTTATCTTCTAGTAATATAATTAGCAGCATCAATGCTCATTATACTCAAGTTCTCTAATCTCATGATTTCCCCCTTTTAATTACTTAATGTAAAAAATCATCAGGCCATCAAGATTTACTGTAACACAAACCGGAATATTGAGATGCTTTTCGAAATGAAATTTTCCAATTTACATTCGTAACTTGGCACACAGATTCTTCACTTCTGTTTCGTTATCACTACAGAATGCGTTACGTGGCCGCTTACCTCCTGGCTGTTCTCGGTGGAAACGCCAATCCTTCTGCCAAGGAAATCAAGTCAATCTTGGACAGCGTGGGAATTGAGGCCGATGATGAACGCTTAAATAAGGTTTGTTGCTAAAACATTGAGCCTTTTCCTCTGAAAATGTGCCGTGGCTGAGTTGTCTCTTCTCTGCAGGTCATTAGTGAGCTCAATGGTAAAGACATCAATGAAGTTGTGAACTCAGGTAAAGGCCCTTCTTTGAAAATAACTGCAGAGGTCAAGATGATATACACTGGAGCTGGCTAACAGTTGTGTATCACTTTTTTCTTCCACAGGCCTCTCTAAGTTAGCCTCTGTACCAGCAGGCGGTGCCGTGGCGGCACCTGCTGCAGCTGCCGCTGGTGGAGGTGCTGGGGCTGCGCCTGCTGCTGGTACGTATATATTTATATATCTGTCATTAAAGAAGAAAATTAAAGCTTCTGCAAGTTTGGATGATAAATTTGTACTAACGCTGAAAAAGTTTAGCTGTGTGGGATCTCAGCGCTGGTAACTACTCTCTGTACTTATCTTTTCATTAAACAACATCTTGTTGTTTGCAGTGGAAGAGAAAAAGGAAGAGAAGAAAGAAGAATCGGAAGAGTCCGACGAAGATATGGGTTTTGGTCTCTTTGATTAATCTGCCTTCTCTGTGTTTAAAAAGCAATAAAAATGTAAAAGGTTTACACAAAATCACCTTTTCATACTGTCCTTTAATTGATATTTATTTTAAATAACCCTTACCTAATTGTGACTGGGCAAAAGTAATCATTCACAAAGATATTACAGTTTAAGTGTCTGGGGCTTGACGCTAAAGCTTTTGTCTCATGTTAAAAATAGACAAGACTAAGAAGCCAGTCATCATTAGGCAAACCAGACCTTCCGTGTGGTCTGTCTGTCGTATTGTTGGTAAGATAATTGAAACCACATAATGGTATGAGCAGTGAGGGACAGTCCATGAACCAGACCAGACCAAAATAATAAAAAAACAAGATTGAAACTGGTGTGTTTAAGGTTTAGGAAACACATAAATGACCTGTAACAACAATTCAGTCACAAGGAGAAAAAAAAACAGTATAGAAATTTGTAAAATGGGTCTTTTGGAACATGGAAAAAAATACCAATAAAGTGTTGACCCTGAAAAGGATAAGCGAATGGATGGATGGATGGGATGGAAAGTGTTGATAGTATAAATTGTATAATTATCAATGCAGCCATACAGACACAATAATTCTTAATTTTTAAAATTACTGCAAGACTCACGAGAACAGGATCAACGGGAAGGGGGGAAGAAGTCAATCAGTAGATTGGTAATGTGCTTCAAACAACAGCTAGCATAATGTTCAGTGCTCTCAATAATTATTTCTCATGGTAAAGACGTTTGATTGCCCAACAAGTTGAATAGTAATGCAGCTGGCATGGATGGACACCTTAGTGACCTGTCATTGATTACCTGTGTGGTTTCCCTGTCATAAGCAAAAACCCTGCAAGGGCATAAATTAGAAGTGAGTCATTAGTCACATCACAATATATCTTTTGCAATTGATTTTTTAAATTGCATGACAGCATAAATAGTCACTCAGCTGTGACCTGGATTTTTCCACTACCTGCCATCTTCCACAAACTGCTTTTGCCTTACATAACGTTAGCTTCATAGCATAAGTGCCTAAGTCATTTTTTGGTCAAATTGCATGTGATATTCAAAAATATGCATGTGATATTTAGAAAATTAGTTTTTTCTTGTTTTCCGAAAACACAAAAAAATGACTTAGGCACTTATGCTATGAAGCTAACGATAAGATACCCGAATTAAGGTCAACGAAGTAAGCAACTTAATCTCTTAACGCTGCCTTTGAAATGACTAACTACTCAAAGAATTAACGCTTACTTTGCTTCAAGTTTCACTAAATCAGATCTCAGTGGTTCATGTCATACACAACACTCATAACTGTGTTGTGTTCATCATGCAGTTCCATTTGTCTTTTTCTCGTTTTTTTGTAGAGCACAGCACAAAATCACACGTGTTCATTATTTTTAGTAGGGGTACTGAGACAGTCATAGTACTTCATAATAATTATATTGACTGTTGATTTCCATTTAATATTTGCTTATTCCAAATATATTAAAGTCTATCAAATGTATACAGATTCTTTATACACTTTGAATTGTCAATGTAAAGCTTTTTTTATTTATTGCAAAGCTGATGAAAACATACTTTATTTATAATTGCAGTAGTTTTAACAAGTCTGTTTTATTGTCAGGGTTGTACAGCTTTTAAAATATGCTGTTATATGTTAGTTGTAAAACACAAAGGTGTGGCTGACCCAAGGTCTTTTTATTGCTTCAGCTTGCATTCATCTGTTAGAACAGAGTTTCTAAGTTTTTGTCAACCTGCAGCTGCATACATTGTATGGACAAAAGTAGCGAGCCACTAGCACATACCTACACGAGCAACTCCCGTTACAGTACTATGCTGGAATTCGGTGAGCTCTTATTTCCACAGAAGTTTGGAAAGGTCTACCACATGGCTAGGAGCCTGATTTTATATAGCTGTGGCAATGGGATTGAAAACACCTGAATTCAAAGGTTAAGAGGTGTGGCCCATGTATGTCAGAAGCTGATGGCTTTATTTCTTGAAGCCTGCTTCCTAACAGGTATAAACAGAGATCTCTAGCCTCTCCTAAACAGGTTTGAGCAGGTATGTAATAGCCTAAGGCTGATGTTTGATTTGTTCTATTAGCTTCATTTTTCTGTTTCTCAGGTGGTGGAAGGATAATGAATTTTTTTTAATACTCTTCACAATAATTATTTTTCCAACAAATTAAGGGAGATGCAAGTCTTAATTTTTGCTGTTTTTATTGTCAAGTTGATCTTAAATTAAGCCAGCCTTTAGATATACATCAATTCTCAATGGAAAAAAATATAAACATCTTTTTAGTATTTAATATGAATGCCAGCATTCATGAAAAACAAACATCAGTCACATTTTAGA